CCACCCCCCTTAGCGAGTCCTCCCCCCATGCCCCCGCTTCTTCAGCCGCGTCTTCTTTCTTCGTCCCGCACCCTGAAACAAACAAGGAAAATCAAGAATTATTAGCATGGTTTGAAACAGGTGACATGACTGGCTTCTAGATCTCTATTTAAGCCCTCGATATAGTTAAAAGCTCTCTTCCATTATCATCCAGAATGGTTGTATTCAAGCCAAAAGGAATTATGTGCATGGGATGAACCGCATTAAACATAGTTCCTTTTAGCATAAATACGCTCATATTTTAAGTCAGGGCACCATGCCAAAATTAATCAAATTTAGGTAGGTATTTTGTCTTCAAATTTTAATTTGAGTAGCGGTTTCATATTTTCTTTGGACTACATCGTGCTGCATCAATCACAAGTCAGTTGTAGTAGCTGAATTGCATAACGCAAAAAGGAACTAATTTTTCTCGCTGTTTGAAAAATCACCTATTTATGTATAAAAATTATGGTAATTATGTATTTTCTACAGTGAATAGAAAAAGATAATTTCTTCTTGCGTAATGCAGTCTAGATACTTCCAGTTGAATGCAATATTGTTTGGTGATATTATACACTAGAACTATAACAGAACTGAAGAGAATGGAACTGTTGCATGTGTGAGGGATTTGCGACTTAAGTATTGATTCTTATTTTGAACTATCCAAGGAACACGATGGTGCCACTGGTTTTCTCTGAAATCAACTCTCAAGCTCAAAAAAAACTATCAAAGTTGAGGCCGTAATGGAGGAGATATCCCACGCTATGTTGGAAGTCTACCCTTATATTAAGTCGCATTCTCTATGCAAAGATAGGAAGAAAATACACCAGCAGGGCTACCACTCTGTTTGGGGAGTTCAAAACTGAAAACATTGCAACCCTGCTAGTGTATTTGCTCCCTATTTTTACATAGAGAGTGCGACTTAATGTAGAAGTAGACTTCCAATATAGCGTGGAATATCCCCTCCAATGCGGCCTCAACTTTGAGAGATTTTTTTGAGCTTGGGAGTTGATTTCAGAAAAAACCAGTGGCACCATCAAATTTATTTCTAAATTCTGCATAGGAATCAGTACTTAAATTGCAAATTCCTCACACGTGCTACAGCTCCATTTCAAATAATTTTAAAATTCCTTTGAACAACTGAGGGCTTTCAAGTTAAGGATAATATGTTTAGAATATAATTATTTTTATAGCTTTTACTAATTAAACTAATTAAAATGGATTAGATCAATTGTATTAAACCACTAAATTTTACTACTGCTACTGAATTTCTACTGTTAAAATTTTACACAACAAATACACATTTTGAAGGGCACTACTTCCGTCCTCAACGACTTATCGTGCGGAGCGTTCTCTTTGTTTCTTGCAGACCTGAAACAAACTAAGAACCAAAAAAAAGAAGAATTAGTTGGAGCTTAACCTAACTTAAAAATAAACACTTAAGTGGAAAAATTATTCTGTTCTTGCCACTTTAATTTGTTGGAATTGATGCTTTCTACTGCTTTTTCAATGCAAAGTTCATTACTTATATGGAATTTAAGGCAATTGTTTATAATGTCTTTTTTCTTCACTGTGTATCAAATGAGCTACTAATCAGTCATCAAGGTGATTCGATGGATGCCATATTTTGTGTCAGAACAGGATGCAATATATCGCATCGATCAGTTCCATTTTTTCAGCTACTCATCACTTTTCTCGAATTTTGAGATCGCAATTCTGTTGTCAGGAGACTAAAAAATTCACTTACCAATTTTGACAAGTAAATTTCAAGGTAATAAAGGCATGGTTTTTATAGAGGAAAAATATCGCATTCGAGTGCAATTTTGATATCAGTATCGAAAGCGATATTTTTCCTCTAAAAAAACCATGCATTAATTATGTTGAATTTGTTTCTCAAAGTTGGTAAGTGAATTCTTTATTCTCCTGACATCAGAATTGCGATCTCAAAATTCGAGAAAAATAATGAGTAGTTGAAAAATGGAACCAACCGATGCGATATATCGCATGTCGCTTTGACACAAAATATAGCATCCATCGAATCACCTCAATATGGTCTTTTTCAATGCAGAATAACTAAAACTGCCCCAGTACTTTCTTGTAAATTATGCCAAAATCCCTGTTAAATTTTACAACATTCAAATTAATTAATCTGCAATTCAAAAATTAAAATGCAACTTCCGGATGCTTACAGTTGAACTGCATTTTGCAATAAAGAATTGCTAATTCTGTCTCATGTTAGATACAACGTATGTATCATTAGTTTCCCTATGCAGATAGGTTCTCTCATTGGAGAGTCAGAATTAGTAGTTTCCAATTATAAAATGCAGTCCAAGTGCGAATGTAGTGGAAGGGAACGCTAATAAAATATGAAAAAGGGACTAGATTAAGAAAATAAATAGTATGATGCAAAACCAAAATGCAAATGAAGCAAAACCAAAATGCAATAAAGTAAAACAACTTTCACTGTGCTCGTTTCTTGCCGATCTGAAAAAAGGTAAACAAAAGAAAATTAGTTTCAGGCATAATAGGTATAAAAAGAAAAATGAAATGAAGTAAAATAGTTTTCCAAGTGTTCGTCTTTTATCTGTTTGAAAAAATGCAAAAAAAAAGGAAAATTAGTATGAAACATACGAAACAAAAAACATTGTATGTAAACTAAGGCTAGACAACTTTCACTGCGTTCGCTTCTTGCCTGTCCGAGAAAAAATGAACAAAGATAAAAGAACAGCACAGAAAGATAAGCAGTAGGATATTTGAGAGAAAAAATCAATTTTAACTACAAAAGGAAGTAGTAGGAAAGTAAGTTGAGATAAAATTTGTCAGTTTGAGTTATTGAACTTATACTTTTGAAGTTATATAAATTAATTGAATTTATTGAGCAGATAAAGATACTTGAAAGCAGTTTCTACTCTGACCCAGTCTCGTTTTCAGTTTAGGAGGGCACTTAGCACAGTAGAAAAATGAAAATGGTAAAAAATTAGGATGAAGCGTTTGAAAAGGAAAATCATCTATTCCAAGAAAGTGATTTGAAACAATTTTACTCTCAGAATGCTGGAAGCTGTATTAATTTCATGCCAATCTGGAACAAAAAAGGAAATTAAAAAAAACATAGTGAAGATCCAATGCACCTTTTAAAGTGCAGCCTATGCCCAATTTTATTTTAATTTAAAATTTAACAAGAAGTAGCATATTGATTGCTAAAGATTGAAAATCCTTACCTTTGATTGTGATCTTACAAATAGCAGCTCATGTTTTATTCTTCTAAACCAGAACTATTCAGCAGTTTCTAATTTAAATTTCTGAGAATCGCCTTCAAGTACTCCAAAATATTCACGGAGAATTTGAAGGAGATACGTCGGTTACTTCTCTATTCACCACCATCACCAAACACTATCGTTCAAACATCATCGGATATTTCCAAACGCTGTGGTGGGCGAGTTGCGAATTTTTTGACTTCATCAATCTATTCTCTTAAGATTCTCGGTGTATCATGTTGTCTCTTGCCGATCTGAAAAAAAAAAAGAAAAATGAAGAAAGCAAAACTAGTAAAAATCCAATGTAAATTAAATGTATAATTTGCGAGCAATTTTTTTACGAGTACCTATCCTGATCAATAAAAATATGAAGCTGGCTCGTGGTATAACCGTGATTATAATGAATTAAATTAGGATATATGTACCTAAAATTTAAAAAAAAAGAAAAAAAAATTTAAAAAGTGAAAATTTAAAAATTAAAAAATCTATTAAATAGAAACTAATTAAAACTTTGAAAGAAAATTTGAATCTTAAAATTTTAAAATATGAAACTTAATAATGTATAAACATCAAGATGTAAAATTTTAAAAATACAAATTTCAAAATAGAGTTTAGTATGAATAAGATTATTGGCGTACTCACGTATTAGAAGCTTAAAT